AGAAAAACGACAAATGGAATTAGAAACAAGGAGTGGTAGTGGAGTTAGTCGTCGGACTACATTTGCCTTGTATGAAACTATGTTGTTTTTAGAAAAACACATTAAAAGGAGGCAGTATGTTTGTCTATGTTATAATCTGTTATATTAATCTAGTTTTATTCTATTTAGGCCCGAAGTTATAGTCGTGGAAAATCCGCGATTGAAAAATCCTGGATTTTTCGTTTACTGGGTAGTAAGTAAATAACTGTCAAGTGTAAAATTAGTTACCGGTAGCTCTAAATTCAGTAAAATTTACCCGTAAATAAATTTAAAACTGAGATTTGCTCGCGTACCCCAAAATTCATTAAAATATGTACGTGAATAATTGTTAAGTGTGAAATTAGTTACCGGTAGCTAAATTCATTAAAATTTGCCCGTAAATAAATTTTAAGATTGAGATTAGGTGGCGTCCCCCGAATAGATTAAAATTTGTACGTAAAAAACTTTTAAGTTCGAGATTAGCTTGCATCCCCAAAAATTCAGTAAAATTTGCACGTAAATAAATGTTAAGTATGAAATTAGTTACTGGTAGCTAAACTCATTAAAATCTGCTCGTAAATAAATTTCAAGATTAAGATTAGCTTATTTAACGAACTTTTGGGAACGCAAGCTAATCTCGAACTTAAAATTTATTTACGTACAACTTTTAATATATTTCGGGGGACGCAACCTAATCTCAATCTTAAAATTTCTTCACGGGCAAATTTTAATGATTTTGGCAACCGGTAACTAATTTCACGCTTAACAGTTATTTACGTAAATATTTTAAGGAATTTTGGGGTATGCGAGCAAACCTAAATTTCAAATGTATTTACGGGCAAATTTTAATTAATTTATAGCTACCGGTAACTAATTTCACACTTAATAGTTATTTACTTACATATCGTAACGAATTTTGGGGTACGGGAGCTAATCTCAATTTTAAATTTATTTACGGGCAAATTTCTATGAATTTAGCTATCGGTAACTAATTTCATACATAACACTTACTTACGTACAAATTTTAATGAATTTTTGGGGACGCTAGCTAATCTCACACTTAAAAATTTATTTACGTACAAATTTTAATGAATTTTGTATGTCGTTGAAAAGTTTTACGTTGGAGACTTACGATGGGTCTCTGAAATTCAGTAATATTATTTACATAAAAATTATGTTCTCTATTCACCAAAAAAATACATAAAATTCATGAAGAGTGTAATGAACAGTAAATTAATTGAAAATTCATTAATATTATTTTTATAAAAAATTATAAAATTCATATTCACTAATGCTGCCCAGCATTCATTAAAAGTGTAAATAAATAGAAAATTCAAGTTTGAAAACTGCTAGTGTCCCCTAAAATGCACTCATACATAAATCGTTGCATAATTTTGAGTTCGAGACCCTCCAGGGGTTTCTAGAATACATAAATACTATTTATAAGACAAATATAAGTTTCATACTTAACACAGGTGCTTAAAACTGATTCAACGTATAATTGAAGAAAGATTTCAAGCTTTTAACTTGCCTCGGGTTCCTGAAATGCATAAAAACTTATGCCGTTGAAAACTTCGAAGTTGGAGATGTACAAGGGGTCTCTAAAATTCATTAATATTATTTACATAAAAAAATATAAGTTGACTATTAACCAACAATTCCTGAAATTCATGAGAAATGTAATTAAATAAAAATTTCAGGCTTGTGAATCGCTAGTAGCCCCTGAAGCGCATTAATACTTATATCGTTGCACAATTTTTAGTTCGAGTCTTATTGGAAGTCTCGAAAATTCATTAATATGTTTTTTATATAACATTCTAAAATTCACATTCACTAATGCTACCTACAATTCATTAAAAGCGTACATAAATAGAAATTTCAAGTTTGAACGTAGCCAGCACCCCCGAAAACCCACTCGCACTTATATCGTTGCAAAATTTTAAGTTCCACACCCTTTGGGGGTTTCTAAATTTCATAAATATTACTTATATAGCAAATATAAGTCTGACATTTACGACAGGTGCTTAATACTTATTCAACGTATAACTAAATAAAAATGTTAAGCTTACCGCTTGCCTGCATCTCATAAAAAAAAAAATAAAAAATTTTGTCGCTGTAAAATTTTTAGTTTAGGTCTTACTGGGGAACTCTAAAGCTCATTAATATTATGTCTCTAATTAGGAATAACATTGGTATTGATTAATGGTGCCTAGTATTAATTACAAGTGTAATTAAATAAAAATTTCAATTTCCCACGAGTATAACTTCGGGCCTTAACGTCAAATGGTTCTTTTCAGGTCGTATACTAATGTGTCGAAGTCATCGAAGTGTCCCAAGTTGGCATTTGATATCGAGAGGAATTCAATCTTTGAATCGGAATCGCCCATATATGTTTTAAATGAAAATAGCGAGCTATCATCAATATCGACCACTTCATCTAATGCAGGTAACGTTTCTTTTACAACTCTAAATGTAATGACATATGGACTGATTCCTTCATTTTCGCAGCTACTCGATCGTCTTTGCCTACTGTGCAAATCATGCAAAAGTCTTTTTCTGAATGGGAAGATTCCTGTTTCAATCATTCGATGGCACGATCAACACCTTCTCCAGCACCTCTACAAAGTGAATCACGTTTAACACCTTCTCCAGCACCTCTACAAAGTGGATCACGATCAACACTGTCTCCAGCACCTTTACAAAGTGGATCACGATCAGCACCTTCTCCAGCACCTCTACAAAGTGGATCACGATCAACACTGTCTCCAGCACCTCTACAAACTGGATCGCGATCAACACCTTCTCCAGCACTTCTACAAAATGGATCACGATCAACACCTACACCACCTTCGCAAGAATGTACGCCAAAGAAGAAGAAAACCAAGGATTTGAGCAACCAAGGATTGGAAGAATCTTTTTTCAATTTGACTCAGATTATGCAGCAACATTACATGGCTCCAAATAATTCAGGACCTGCAAGCACTGCTGATAATTCATTTGCTTCATTAATAGTTGCAGAGAGAGTTGGGAGTCTTACCAGATTCTGAAAAAAGAAGTAGAAAGCAAAGAATCTTACAAATTTTATATGAGCCTTACAATGCCTGTTTATAAGAAAGAAATGTATTTTAAAACAATAAATACAGTATTTTACACAAATTACTTATAATTCCTAACCTATTGTTATAAAATTTATTTAATTTTATGAGAAAAGTCATGTTAATCTTTTGAATTTACGTTAATATGTTAAATTAATTTTCAGAAGGATCTTCTCCATTGAAACCTCTGCGCACGTATGCGTACTGCCATGTTACTTCACCTTCAGGAGTCAAACAATAGTCTTTTAATATATCTCTTTGACTGTATGCTTCGGTTCTTGCTCGATGCGCGCTTGATGATCTAAGATTTTGAATTCCCGTAGCATTCTCCTTTCGCCATTCTCCAAGAATAACATCACCATTGTCCAATTCCGTATCTATGTAATGACTCGGACAGTATGTCCTCTCTCTTGCTTGCAATCGGTTGTTTTCTGTCATAAGAAAGTTATGGAGACAAAAAAAAGCCATAATAATTTTGTCCGCACTATCAAGATGCAACGAGATTGGGTGAGTAAAAATTCTCCAGCGTGCTGCGAGAATTCCAAAAGTATTTTCAATTGTCCTTCTGGCCCGCGAGAGTCGGTAGTTAAAAATTGCTTGGTCCTCGGGTAAATTTCTACCAGAATATGGTCTCATCATGTTCTTTGTCAACTGAAATGCTTCATCACCGACAAAAAAACAATGTGTCTCTGAATTACTTCCAGGTAATCTTGTTCTACCTTCTGGCAAGTCGAGTTCTCCATCAAGCAGAGCTTGTCCAAAATTGGATCGGGAAAAAACACCAGCGTCGTTGTTGCTTCCGTAAGCTCCAACGTCTACAAGTGTAAACTTGTATTCATAGTCGCAGGCTGCCATCAGCACAATGCTGAAAGTTTTCTTGTAATTATAATACAAGCTTCCAGAATTGGGCGGTGCGTCAATTTGCACATGTTTGCCATCTACGGCTCCTACACAATTTGGGAAGTTCCAGTTACTCCAAAAGCCACTGCAAACTTTTGTCCACTCTTCTCTGGTTGGGGTCCGCAAATATAAAGGTGCCAGTACGTTTATTAACGTATCGCAAGTTTCTTTCACTACCTTATAAACTGTTGATTCACCAACACGGTAAGCTAACGCAATAAACAGTGGCAAATCTCCAGTTGCAAGATATCTGTACGGTAGTAATATTGAAAAGTTAGATTATTCAATGAGCACAACAATCAACAGTAGAAACTATGCCGCAATTAACAAGAAGTAGAAGTACGTCAACTATTTCGTGTTAAAGTAAGAACAGTTAACGTAGCCCTACGTACACAGTATTTTATTTACTTACAAAAAAAATATCGTGTACCTGAGAGTAATAGCGAGCCTCTGCTCCGGTTCCAAAGCTCTCCAATTTCTTTTTATCAAATGTGCTCTTATCCTTTCGAGCAAATTGTTAAAAAATGGTAATGTCATTCGGGTGTAACGAAAAAACATCACCGAATCTAATTTCATTTCTTGCAGCAAATTCATATAATCTCCTTGATTGTTACGTTGACAGTTGATGGGACGGACCCACCACCTTCTGTTAGCCCACTTTTTTGATTTTTCTCTGCGACGCAGCAATAGAAGACCAGCACCCAGAACCAAAAGTCCCAACAACATTTCCTCTCCATCATCCATAATTGAGGAAAGGTGTTTTCTTTATTGATTATCCTGCATTAAAATTGGCATTGAATTTTCTCATTCAAAGCGGCTTTTATGTTCAAAAAAATTGAATTAAAAATGAATAAACTAGTATATAAACTTAAAAATAATAAATAAATTTAAGTTTTGAGGTTATAAATGACATTCATTGCTTTAACGATTTTGTAATAATAAGATATAAATATATACTAGTTTACTTTGCGAATTATGAAATATCAAAACATATGATATTGTAAATATATTATTATTAACATATACTTACTTTTCATAATAGAACAAAAATACAATATAAAAGCAAAGATGTAGCAAACAGTACTTGATACCAGTGCTTGATACTTTGAAATATATTTTCGCGCAATTGCTTTGATGATGATTGGTCGAAGCTTACAGCTTAAGGCAGTCGTGTGTGATGGCGCTCACGTACTACGGTTACGATTTACGTTTTACGTCTTCCGTCGATTCGTGTGTGAAGGCCATAACTGAATGTGCCCGCGCCACCCGCCATCTATTCTGATCTATTTGCGACCGCGAGTTATGGATAAGTGACTGTTGAATGTTGCACCTAGACTTTTTGTAAATAATTTCTCATACTGCTCACACCTCATACCTAGTTTGTTTGCGAATAGCTAAAAAGAATCGACAGTGCTAACCAATTCTTATCTGTTTTTCCATATTGGCTACAGTTCAACATAATTTTTATAATATCAGTTCATAGTTCGGCGACAAATAACCTTATTGTTGATGATTTATTCGTCTAAAACAACAGGTATGGACATGTTGTGATGTATTTCTGTGAAATGTAATATTAATAATTGTACGTTAATCATGATAACTGAAATGGCAGTGTGGCACAGAAACTGATGTTTTTTTTCCTTTTGTCTGCCGATATCAATTTTGATAATTAATTTCGTAATTATTTTTCTTGATCTCTTATATAGAATGAATTCACACACAGAATCAGAGGAAAACATTCAATCTCTACCCGATACACCGCCAAAGACAAACTTAAAAACAATTCAAAAACATCGTCAACAAAAATTTCGAAATGCCTGGCTTGTGGATGATAATTTTATTATAACATGGCTTTCTAAAGTCCCCAACAATTCAGCAAAAGCGAAATGTAAATTTTGCAATGTGACTTTACAGCTGAATTGACTGTAATAAAAAATCATTCGATATGTCAAAGTCATAGGCGTAAATTTCAAGAGACTCAGCCAAAAATAAATATTTTTTTCCCAAAAAGTGAAAAAAACATTGATTCAATTGACTGCAAAAAAGTGAAAAAATTTGAATTAAAATTATGTGCTTTTCTGGCCGAACATAACATGTCCTTTAGGGCTTTAGATCACTTAACACCTTTGATAAAGGAATGTATAACCGATTCTGAAATTGTAAGAAGAATGCATTTGAAATCAACAAAGGGAACTGCAGTAATAAAGAATGTTATCGGATTGTCAGAAAAAGAACATTTACGGAATAAATTACAATCGTGTTACTTCAGTGTACTAATAGATGAAAGTACAGACATTGCTGCTGTCAAAACAATGTGCATTATAGTAAGGTAAGCTATTTAATTAATAATGAATTAATAGTTAATGTATGATCTCAGAATGACATATGACATATGAGGAAATATTTTCAAATAAAAACTGAAATATAGTAACTTAACTTCTCAATTACGACAATAACTTATTAAAACCACAATCTTCTTGATAAAATTAAAAAACAAATTAAATTAAAAATTTAAACCTTCAGTTTATTTTATGAAATAATTCACTTGATCATTGTAAATGATACATTTGGTTTTAATAAATTAGCAATCTTTAAAACTAACGCAATATAATTAGCATCTGGCAATCACATATTTAAAATGGATATTATGCAAGTATTAATATATTGACTTTGATGAACAACGATCTATAAAATTTCATGCTTGTTTGGACTGGAAGTGGCTTCCTACTTTTGACTAGCGTAATTTTATGTTAAATGAATTATATACTGTCGGCGAATAATGGGTTCAAACTGGATAATTGACACTTAATAATTTTTATATATGGATTTAATTTAAGATGTATGTACTGAGGATGGTCAGATGGTGACCGAAACGTTTACGTAATAGAAAATAAAATATATTTTGTGCTAATTCTAACTGGCGCTGTGGCTGTATGCTCTTTATTAATTTGCTTTTACTATTTATTCTTGCAATGGGTTTTGCCAAAATTTACTAAATTGAACGAATTATTTCAATCGCGATCAGTTGTTCTGACGAGTCTACACGAGAAAATGTCTGTCAATTATCGAGAGCTTTTAGAGACATATCTATGTAAAAATTACATTTATCGGACTGCCCTTAAGGACATTGATCCATTTAATGAAGAAAAACATTTACGACCTGAACAAATGTACTTTGGGGTTAAAGTCATGGAAATGTTAAGTACTCCTGCGATTAACAATAATGAACATTTAAAAGCAGACTTTCGATCAACGTGCGTTAAATTTCTTGCCATCGGATGTAATCAGATTAAACAGAGGTTCAACTTTGATGATCCAATTCTAATGTTTGTGACAAATTTAAGTCCATCTAAAGCTATGCTCCGAAGTACTAGAGATAATGTGCCAAGTTTGTTGCCATTGATGAAACTTTTACCACGTATCGTTGATCCTAAAGAATATCAAGATATTGATGACGAATGGCGCCAATTACCTTTGTATGAATTACCGGTAGATATTAATCCTAAAGGAAACGTTGATTTATTTTGGGCAAAATTAATGTTTATTGACGATAATGATCAGGGATTAACATTCAAGAAACTTTCTAAATTTGTACTTGACGTTCTATCTCTGCCTCATTCAAATGCAGATTGCGAGAGGTTGTTCAGTCAGATTAATTTAATCAAAACGAAAACAAGAAATAAATTAATTACTTCAACTATCAATGGCCTCCTCCTGACAAAACAACGAGTACAAGGCAATTGTTTAAATTACGAACCATCCAAGCAAGAATATAGTTGCATGACAAAAGCTCTTATGTATCCAAAAATAACTGACATACACAAAGGTACAACTAAACTAAAATCTTGTAACATTTATGAAGAAAACGATGAATTAAACGACTTTGATGATATCACTATTTGTTAAAAATAATAGAAATTAAGTATGCATTATTATTTTAAAGTCTGTTCGTTTATAATTTGCGAGTTATATATTGTTTATCAAAGATTTATCGTTCTAGTCACGTGGCTTAGGGCCATTGTCACCATCGTCAGTTTAGTTATAGCGTTTTCGAATGGAGTGGGTTTGAACCTGACCCTGGAGCCGTATTCTGTACACGCCTACCGACAGTTGTC